AACAGAGACCGCCCCCAATCCGGCCCCCAATCCGTGTAACCGTTGCAACAAGTGAGCACTTCTGGTTATGAGCGTCCAGGAAGTCTCAAGCGAGAGCTCCATTTTGAAAAATAACCGCCATCCACCCGTGCAGTTGTTGCATGTGTGCAAGTTCTTGGTCTTCAGATTCAAGGAAGTTCCAAGCGAGAGCCCCATTTTGAAAAGGAACCGCCCTCCATCCACGCAGCCGTCACATGTGTTCACGTTTCTGGCCTCAGTACTTAAGGAGGACTCAAGCGAGAGCCCCATTTTGAAAATGAACCGCCGTCCATCCATGTAGCCGTGGCAGGCTTTTAACACGACTGTCTGCGGCGTTAAGGTGACACCCACAATGTGAAAGTGACCCCCTGCCCATGCTTGAAACAGCTGCAACTTGTCACAAAGAATGCGCGCTGCGCTAAGGGGAGAGAAGGAGCCACCATCCATCTCAGAAGCTGTTGCATTACTTTTCCGGCGAGGGGATCCCGATATGTGCATATAGTTACTCACGCATGTCCCGCTGCGAGTGTCTGCGTGCGGGAGTCTAAACATGACCGGTTCTGAGTATGATAACCTGGGAGCAGAAGAGCCTGAGTGTGAATGGGACTGAATGTAACTGAACGAATCTACGCGCATGAGTGCGAGTGAATGTGAGTGGTCAGAGTGCGGGTATAATCGTGCGAGGTCTGAGTGCGTTTAAGTGTGAGTTGTTTGAGCGCGAGAGTGAGTGTGGGAGGTCTGAAAGTATCTGAGTGTGGTGCGAGAAAACTGAATGGTCTAAATTTGAGTGTGAATGGTCTTAGTGTAAATGGTGCGAATGTGAATTTGAGCATAGGCTACGTGAATTTGGCTCCGAAGCAGCCAAACAGCTGGAGATATTCCCGCAATCTGGGCCCCTTGGGGTGCTGGAAACAGCGCCCCGCTTGAGACATCCTCCCAATCTGCTCTGAACGCGGGGTCCGAAACAAGCACACCGCCAGCTGAGACATCCCCGCAATCTGGGCGCGAACGGGCCCGTGACATACCCCTAGCGGTTCCCCCATGGGGCGCTGGAGCCAAAGCCCCGCCTGAGACATCCTTACAAACTGCTCTGAAATCAAAATATGTAGCGCATGCAAACAAGCAGACCGCCTGAGAAATCCCCGCAATCTGGCTGCAAATTCTGGATTGTCTCTACCCTGGCGGCTCCCTCTTGAGAGTGCTGAAACCAACGCCTTGTCTGAGACCTTCTCACACATTGCTTCGAAAACAAAAGATGTTGCGCACAGGCAAACCAGCTGAGATATCCCCGCAATCTAAGCGCAAATCCTGGAGTGTCCCCACCCTGGCGACTCCCATTGGGAGTGTTGAGACCAGCGAATCGCCTGAGGTTGAGCTATGTGAATTTGGCACCGAAGCAACCAAACCGCCGGAGATATGCCAGCAATCTGGGCCCCCTGGGGTGCTGGAGCCAGCGCCCCGCTTGAGACATCCCCCCATTTTGCTCTGAACAGAAACGAGTCTGGGGTCCGAAACAAGCTAGCCGACTGAGACATCCCCGCAATCTGGGCGCGAACGGGCCCGTGATATATCCAACGGCGACTCTCCCATGGGGCGTTGCGACCAGCGCCCCGCCTGAGACATCCTCACAAACTACTGCGACGCAGAGGATGTTGCGCATGCGAACGGGCATACGGGCTGAGACATCCACGCAATCCGGGCGCGAACCCTGGATTGTCCCCACCCCTGGAGGTTCCCCCTTGGGGTGCCCATGTGCCACGCCTGCTACATCACGGTCAGCATTGAGCATGGGTGAGTTTGAATATGCGTGAGTCAGAATATGAGTGAATCTGATGACGAGCGAGTGTGGGGAAGTCTGGGTATGAGCGAGTCTGAATATGAGCGAGCGACTCTCCAGAAAAGGGGGAGGTACGGAGGCGTCTGAGTCATTAGAAATACCCCATCCTAGGATATGAAGAGTAACAAGACCCCCAGCTTAAGATATGGGTAGCAAATTACTCCGACGGAAAACCCGACATGAAAATCCGTTCGGGTAGTCTGGAAAGAACCTTCACTGTCGTCCTCGCGATTAGTGAGGCGCCCGTATTGTCTTCTCTGCGTCATTTTCATTCTCGCCCTGGCGCAGGGCCCTCACCCGCTCCCCGCGTTGCCCTTGCCTCGCCCTCCTGCTGTTTGTTTGTTTCGTCACCCACCACCTCCTCTCCTGTCTATTGCAAGAGCGCGCGTCGATTTTCCTCGACGCCGTCGCCGCCTCGGCCAGCGCGGGCGCATTCTCGAATGGCCGCGTCGCGCGGCCGTTGGGACAACCCCGCGGGCCAGGCCATTGGGGCAACCGCGCGAGCCGCAAGCCGTTGGGACAACCCCGCAGGCACCGAGCTAGTCCGGGCCCCTGCCCCCGATTCGGCAGAGGATGGGTTACCACCCCCAGCCAGGACGCAAGGGTTCCCCCCTGCGCCCGATTCGGCTGACGATGGGTTACCACCGCCAGCCTGGAGACAAGGGCCCCCCCCTGCCCTCGATTCGGCTGACGATGGGTTACCACCGCCAGCCCGGAGACAAGAGTTTCCCCCTGCCCCCGCTTCGACCGAAGAAGGGTTACCACCCCCGGCCCGGACGCAAGGGTTTCCCCCTGCGCCCGGCCGCCGTCGTCGTCCTCACCTCCTATTCCTCCTCTTCCTCCTCAGCTGATCGGTCGGGCGAATCGCCCTCTGAAGAGCGCTTAGGAAGGGGGCTCCCTCCTGAGACTTCCTCACAGTTCACTCACAGACGAGGCTTCCGCCTGATACCTCCCCCATATGCAGGCCTCAGGAGCCCAAAAGTGACGACAGTTACAGGTTCGAAGATGACCCGCTCGGATAAAAAACATGAAGTGCGGGCCCTTGTATGGAGGGGGCTCCCGCCTGAGACTTCCCCACAATTCACTCACAGACGAGGCTCCCGCCTGATACCTCCTCCATATTCAAGCCTCGGGAGCCCAAAAGTGACGACAGTTACAGGTTCGAGGATGACCCGCTCGGATTTAAAACATGAAATGCGGGCCCCATAGGGAGGGGGTTCTCGCCTGAGACTTCCCCACAATTCACTCACAGACGAGCCTCCCGCCTGCGGTCAGATTCCTCGCAACTTGCGTCGCTTCCCGCCGTGCTCGTCACTTGCTTCCGCAGGGCGTTTCGGCGGGTCTCTGACCATGGCCTGAAACTATTGAAGGTCACCCCACGGCCGCCCCTGACAGTTCCAAAAGACACCACAAAGCAGTTCTGAGGTCACCAAGGGCATACCACATTCCTCGGCAACAAATGGCGACGGCCAAGACGGCCGAAAAAAACGCCCAGAGCGCCCCATGACAGCCCAAGAGAAGCCGATGACAGCCCAAGAGAGCCCCAAGACAGCCCAATACTGCCACAGGGCGGCCTAAGGGGCCCCAAGACAACCCAAGAATGCCCCAAGAATGGCCCAAGGGCCTCAGACCACCCAAAGAGGCGACCAGACCACTGCGCGATTCTTCATAAGGGGTCGGCGGATGTGGCGTAAGCCTGAAGAATCACTCACAGACGAGCCTCCCGCCTGCTACTTCCCCCATATTCAAGCCTCAGGAGCCCAAAAGTGACGAGTTACAGGTTCGAGGATGACCCGCTCGGATTAAAAACATGAAGTGCGGGCCCCATAGGGAGACGGCTCCCGCCTGAGACTTCATCACAAATCACTCACAGACGAGCCTCCCACTTGCTACTTCCTCCATATTCAAGCCTCGGGAGCCCAAAAGTGACGACGGTTACAGGTTCGAGGATGACCCGCTCGGATTAAAAACATGAAGTGCGGGCCCCCCAGGGAGAGGGCTCCCGCCTGAGACTTCCTCGCAATTCACTCACAGACGGCCTCCCGCCTGAGTGAATGAGTGAGTGAGTGAGTAATGGTGATGATGCTACAGATGTTAATGATGATGAGGTGGTGATGATGCTACTGATGTTGATTGTGATAAGTGTGTGTGTGTGTGAGTGATGGCGACGTGATGACTGAGTGAATGAGTGATGATGATGAGTGAGTGAGTGAGTGAGTGAGCGAGTGGGTGAGTGAGCGATGATGATGTAGTGTGTGTTCCTGTGTGTTCCTGCGCGGGGTGCCCAGAGAAAACAGGAACCCCACTTTGGACGTCGAGAAAAACATAAGCATGATTTCTTGGAGCTCCGCGCGAATTTCTTGGGATCGGCAGTGGACCCCGCTCCCTGGCACGGGGAGCGCGCCAGGGGCGGCGCCGGAGGCGGCGCCAGGGAGGGCCCAGCGCCCGATCCAAGAAACCCGCGCGGAGCTCCAGAAGTTTGTGCCTAGGCCATGTCTCTCCTCCGACACCAGGCATCGATCCGCCCGAATCGATGGGGGGCGAAGGTGGGGTCGGAACTCGCCACTTGCTCGACGCACTCCGCACCATGCCCCAGCCGCCCATCGAGTTGCCCGAGTCTCTGAGCGGCGAGGGCAGGGTGCGGCTTTCGCCGCCGAACCTGGTCCTCGTTGAACGTCTTCATGCGCGCGCTGGCCGCGCGCAGGCCGGGCCCGTCCAGCAGGCGCTCCAGCAGCTCCGCCGCGCCGCGGAAGTAGTGCACGTGGGGCAGCAGGGCCCAGTCCGTGAGCCCGGCCCAGTAGAGGGCCTGGTCCATGTTGAGCGGCCGCCGGGGCTCGGCGAAGAAGGGCGACCCTGGCGGGGGCGCCACGGCGTCCGCGGCGCGGCCGCCTTGGCCGTCCGCCAGGCGCGCCTCCATCCGAGGGAGGGTCAGGGGGCCGAACAGCCACCGCCAAAGGTCCCGGGGGACGAAGACCGGCACCTGCATGGAGTACAGCTCGTGGAACAAGAATATCACCGCGTCGTACGGGAACAGCACGGCCGCCCGGTGCTCTGCCATCGCACGGTACGGCATCCCGGGCGTCCTCAGCTCGCTCAGCCGATTCGCCCAGCTCTCCCGCCCCGCGAGCACGCTCGGATCGCCCCGCGTGGCGCGGTGCTCCTCGAAGAGGATCTCCTCCAGCTGAACGAAGCGCAGAGGGTACCACGGGTTCGCCCCCAGAAAACGATTGACAACGCACTCTGACATCCCAGCGGACGTGCCGAAGCGGCTGAAGAGCACCGAGTCGTTGCGGACGGGCGTGTGCGCTGCACCCGTGTGCAGGCCCAGGAGGCGCTGCACTGGGGGCAGCACGCCCGCCTGCCAGTGCACCTCGTGCGCCAGGAAGACGCTGCTGGCCACGACCACGTGCCCGTCGTCCTGGGCCATCGCCGCGAACTCGCGCAGCCAGGGCATCCGGTCCGCCTCGTGCACGTCCCACATCAGCGGCAAGCCGATGTACATGAACACGGGCTTGTCCGCGAACGCCAGGAGGAACCGGCACCACGCCGGCGGCTGCGTGCACATGAGGACATCGGCGGCCGCGACGTGAGGCCTGAAGGCAGCCACAAAGGCGGGGGAAACCTCGTCGAACGTACCACCCTTGCTGTACCCGTACAGGTGCTGCACGACCTTCCGCTCCACATCCGGCGATGCACAGAGCCCGTAGTTGCCGCAAACGTTGTGCCCAATGGAGTTCCCAATGAATCGGACCCGGACCCCGATGGTCCTCTCGAAGCGCTCGAACATGGTCTTGGCCTCTCCGGCCACGGTCGGGTGCTGGCAGACTTGCCATATAACCAGCTCGTGGCTCGGCACGATGCCAGGGGAACGAAGAATGGCAAAAACATAAAAACTCGGAAGTCCGCGCGGACTTCTCGGATCCGCGCTGGACCCCCCTGGCGGCGCCTCCGGCGCCGCCCCTGGCGCGCTCCGCGCGCCAGGGCGGGGGGTCCAGCGCCGATCCGAGAAATCTGCGCGGACCTCCGAGTTCTTCTGTTCATGTCATTCTTTCCCGTTCCCCTCGATGCCCATCTCGGTCTGGCCCTCGTGCGGCTGGCACCACAGCCGCCGCGTGCGCTTCGCCGCCTCGCCCGTGCCCTCCCAGCGCAGGAACGCCTGCAGGGGGCCGGCGCCGCGCTCCCCCGGGTGCCGGGACATCAGCGACTCCATGCCCGGCGCCAGCGGTCGCCAGGCGTCGGCCACGGTGGACAGGTGGATGTTGATGTCCAGCAGCCTGACCGGCCACCCAGAAGAATCCAGCCAGTCGAATGCAAAAAAGTCCCCCAGGATCGCGAGAGCTATGTACAGATAGCGCTGCGCATACGCGACGCTCCTGGGGAACGCGAACTGGGCCAGGACCACGAGCGCGGCGACGTAGCCATAGAAGCAGAACTTTCCCCCAGAGCCCGCCCCGCTGCGATAGGTGAGGTTGCGGTTGTTGAAATCCGCCACCGTGCGGTAGGCACTCAGTGGAGTGCCCTCGGATCCCTCTGAGTCCTTTGCCTCCAGGGTTGTAATCCTCTTCGTGGGGCCCAGGTCCCCAACTCCTAAATTTCTTGGGGCTGCTCGCGTGACTGTGGGGGCTGATCGCGTGACTTATGGGGCGCCCCATATGACTTTCGCAGAAACCAGATGGCGCCAATACGGCTCCGGAGGGCCCCAAGAGGCCCCCAAGACAGGCCAAGAGGTCCCCGAGTCGGCCCAAGAGCGCCCCAAGATCGCCAAGGTGCCCTTCAGACGCCCGAAGAGGCCCCCCAAGACGCCCCAAGAGGGCCCCCCTGTAGGGCATACGCCCCAAGAAGACCAACTGCTTGATGTTCCGTACTGTAACTGTTTGAATGGGTTTAGCGTTCCCGTCTTTTCGGGCTTCCGATGCTCCAAGCCGGCCAACAAAGGCCCCCGAGATCGATCCAAGACGGCCAAGAGGCCCCTAAAAGGCCCAATCTAACGTTTGGAGCCCTTTCCCCAAAAGATCGCCAACAGGCCCCCCAGAGGCCCCGAGATCCCTCCAAGATGCACAAGAGGCCCCCAAACTGCCTCCGAGATGCCCTCGAGAGGCTTCCCGAGAGACTCCAAGAGGCCTCTGAGGCTCTTGTCGACGACCCAGGCGTGATGGCGGGCTAGGCCGAAGGACACTGGATAGTGGACGACGACGTACCTCTCGAACTGCGGCGAGTCGTGGCACACGTCCGCGCCCATTGCCTCCACGTAGCCCCAGCGGAAGTCCTCGCTGTTGCGGCACTCCTGGGAGCACACCAGGTAGCGCCAGCGATTCTCCAGCGTCCTGGCCGTCTGCTCGAGCGCAACGGCGCCGGGCCCCTCCATCGGCCAACCGTTCCGAGCGTGCTCGTCGACCTGCCGGCGGAATGAGTCCCAATCGGGCTGGTGCGAGCAGTCGAACACGGTGGGCGTGACCAGCGCCGGCCACACGCTCTTCATCGCCTCGGCCGGTCGCGTGCGGCGCTCCAGCGAGAAGAGCGCGCACAGTCGCCGCGCGCAAGCGCCGCCGACTCCGCCTGGCGCTCGCGGTCGCCACTGCCTCTGCGGAGGGCTCCCGCGCAGCGTCCGTGCCTCCGCGGCGCACCAGTCAGATCGGAGCGCAGAGGTTCGGCCAGCGAGTGAAGACGAAGGAGCATTCCAGAAACACCGACTTGAAACCACACCGACCCCTGGAGCAAAAACGGCTACTCGTTGGAGGTGCTGCCGTATCGATGTGGTCGCTCGCCTCTTGGACGGACGGGGCCCACAAAGAGTGCGAACGAAGAGAAAAACGACTCGGTGGACGGTGCCAATCGGGATCATTGCAGAAACAAAGAGACATGCCCGTGAGTGCACCGCGCCGTGTTTCTTTCGCAGCCCTTCTTGAGCAACACACCGGGCGGCAGACATGCCAAACCGCTGCAAGTCTGAGTGAAGAAGGGCGACCAGAAACTACTGGTGATGGAGATTGGAGCGCCTGAGGGAAGCGTCGTGAGATCGTACGATGGAGTCATAAAGGTAATTCGGAGAGACATGCAGAAAGGGAGTGGAGTTTTTCAGGAGAAAAATCCACGGAACACTTGAACACTTGATAGACATCTACATCATCAGGGGAGACATTCCTCCATTCCTCGTCCTGCTTCTGTAAACGACCTTTCAAGGAATGCCGCAACTGCGATGATAGCCGTGCGCAGAGCCGGATGTTAAAAATAGCTGTATGTGTCCGCGTCCAAGGGAGCGCGCTAACTACTTGACGCTGGCTGGCCCATGCCACGCCAGTTTCGTGACTTGAAATGCCGACCAAGCTGGTGGTAAAGGGAGGCGCGAGGGACGAAATGAGCTCATATCTTTCGCCGCGAAATGCTCCACGCGCGCACTGTGAGGAGAAGGACTATCCACCACGACCGAGCGAGCCTCCACATGCGGGCCTGGGGCCCACGCCGTGGTGCACGTGGCCGCCCCAACTCGCCGTGAGTTCGGCATTCGCCAGGACCTGCGCCCCCCCTGAGGCCTGTGGAGGCTCGGCGGTGGTGGTGGACGCGCTCCGTCTCTCGATGCCCCCTGAGGGCTCACAGTCTCTGCCGTTCGGTGGCGCAAGCGAGGCACTGCGTCAGCATGGGGAGGAGAGTAGAGATCGGGGCAGAGAGGGGGGGAGGAGGAGGAGGATAAGGAGGATAAGGAGGAGGAGGAGGAGGAAGAAGCCGCCCGCGACACCGACCCCGCCCGTTCCCAGCCTGACCCGCCACACCTGCGTGAATACGACGTTGTGGAGAGTGCGGGTTATGTTGTTTGCCGAATCTGTGGGGCTTTCGCCCGTGCCCGCGCCCAAAAGTTGCTGCGGGCATGTGATGGCCTCTTCGGAAAGAAATGACTGCCCACAAGAGTCGGCGTAGGCATCGTGACCGCATCCTGGAGGGACGGGACCCCTACACGGATCTGACCGTGAAGGAGGCTTGGCGGGCCTTCTCAATGTTGGTTTGATTATGACCCCTACGCGGACCTCGCTCGGGAAAATGATGACACGTGTGTTTGGTCACACTGGCGTGAGGTCTGGAGGCCCGCCCGCATAGCCGCCCAGTCAAAAAGAGGTGGGGGAGGAGGAGGAGGAGGAGGAGGAGGAGGAGGAGGAGGAGGAGGAGGAGGAGGAGGAGGATCGGCCCCACAGACCCCTGGCACAACGAGGCACGAGAGGAACATGTCGCAGGATCCTGGCAGAAACACGGCCGACGCGAAAATGCGATATGCGCTGACATGGTGACTGGCGAGAACGGGGGATCGAAGAGGGGAAGGGCTAGGGAGGGGAAGAAAGAGGGATGAGAAGGAGGAAGAGGAGGAGGGGGGGGAGGAGGAAAAGGAGGGAGGAGGACGATGAGGAGGAATAGGTGGACGAAGAGGAGGAATGGGAGGAACAGGTGGAAGGGAAGAAGGAGGAAGCGACAAAACGACCGAGGAGGAGGGAAGAAGGAAATGTCGGTGTCGACCAGAATGATGAATGCTGACTGGGATGATTAGCCAGATGAGATATGAAGGAAATGATGTTTGCCATCGTGGGCCACAAGCGGTGGGCGCTTGCACCCTCCATTCGGTCCTTATTGAGTGCAACCTTGCGACGTGATCTATGCAGTGCAACATATGTGGTGCGATGTCTGTGGTGCAGTTCTCACCTGGCAGAGCTTGATATCTTCAACTCCACTGCTCGCGCAATCATCGCATCCTCCCACCCGCAACTTATTCTGCACAACCCATGTGGCCGCGATTGCGGTGACCAGGGTGCGGAAAAGGGGGGGGGTTCTTAAAAGCTTCTCCGGATCACTTGACACTGGCTGGCGTATCTCCGCGGCTGCGACAGCGCGCGCAAGCTCTCGTGCAGAGCGACCAGCTGGTTTGGCACAACCGATGCGGCCACGATGACGCTCACCGACGAGAGCTTCCCAACACGTCTTGAAGGTTGCGTTTGCGCGCGGGCGTTTCAGTGCGAGTCGGTGACTTGAGCGGGCGCGATATCATGATAACGTGGACAAGGGCGGCAACGGTGATGATAGTAGCGATGGTGGTGGCGATGATGACGGCGATGGCGGCGAGGACAGTGACAACGCCGATGCGAGTGACGACGGTGACGATGATGATGTCCGTGTCGGTGATTGACTGAAGATGAAGGCGGCGAGTGGCGATGGCGATCACGGCGGTACTGAGGCGGCACTGATGGAGAGATATGGAGAGATGGTAAGGCAAACCAATACTGAGTTGTCAACTCCACTGCTCGCGCAAACATTCCACCCTTCCACCTGCAAATTGTTCGGCAAAACGCCTCGATTGCGGCTTCCAATTGGAAGTTGCTAGCGCATATCTCCGGCCGCACTGGCGCTTGCCGATGGAAACTCCCCAGTGCGTCTCAAAGGCTGCGATGACGCGAGGGCGCTTCAGTGGCAGTCGGTGATTTGGGCGGGCGTGATATCATGATGACGTCGACGAAGGCGGCAACGGTGATGATACGATGGTGGTGACGATGATGACGGCGACGGCGGCGAGTCCAGTGACGGCGCCGACGCTGGTGACGACGATGACGATGATTATGTCCGTGCGTCGGTGATGAAGGTGATTGACTGATGATGGCGGCAATGGCGGCGAGTGGCGATGGCGATGGCAGCAGCGCTGAGGCGGCGTAATGCGAAGGTGGTGAGGCAAACCAATACTGAATTGTCGACTCCGCTGGTCGCGCAAACATCCCACCCTTCCACCTGCAAATTGTTCGGCAAAAATCATTCGGCCTCGATTGCGGCTGCCAATTGGACACTGCTAGCGCATCTCTCCGGCCGCACTGGCGCGCGCACGCCCCCGCGCACAGCGGCCAGCTGGTTTGGCAGGACTGGTGCGGCCACGAGGCGCTTGCCGACGGGAACTCCCGAGTGCGTGTCACAGGCTATGATGGTGCGAGGGCGCTTCAGTGCGGATCGGTGATTCGGGCGGGCGCGATATCATGACGTGGACAAGGAGCGGCAAAGGTGATGATAGTAGCGATGGTGGTGGCGATGCTGACGACGACAGTGACGAGGCCAATGACGGCGCCCGCCGGTAGTGGTGACGACGATGACGATGATGATGTCCATGTGTCCGTGGTAAAGGTGTGCCGATGATGGCGGCAATGGCGGCGATCAACGATGACGATAACGGCGGTGATGCGACGGCGCTGATGGGTGCGATGGTGAAGATGTGCGCGGGCAGATATTCAAAAAATAGGACAGAATTTACGGACCTTGGTTTGTCATATGCTGTTGAACAGCTCGATCTTGAAATGCTTCGCAAACCAAATGTTTGGAAAGGATTTCGGCATGCGCACGTGGCAGCGCGCCCATATGGCTCGCGTGATACGATTAGATGCACATTCGTATACTGCGCTCGCGAGATGACAGTGCGGATTCTTGACGAGATTGCCAAGCATCACATGTTTGTCCGGTGATTTCAGCAAGTGCGCGCGGGCAGACAGCCTGCAAGGCTTTTGATGGAAAAACAATGGGTTTCGAATCTTATTTCATGGGACGTATTGCAGAAGTGTTGGAATAATCGCAGAGCTATTGTGTTTAATATGGTTATGGCATGTGCACACGCGTGGACGTGGCTGTACTTTTAGCCCTGGATGATTTAAACATTACTTTGGATATAAACGTCTGCGCGCATTGCGCGCGCAGTCGTTTATATCGCGCGCGGCGCAAATTGAAATGTTTGACAAGGATGAGGGGGGCGATACTGGTTAGGCTGGCAGGGAACGGTCTGCAAGATCAGCGGTGCGGCAGGATCATCTGCAAATTGTAATGCGGTAAAGGGGGCTGTTGGCCCGGGGCGCGGAAGTGCGGTGGACTCTTTTTCCCAACCATCCTGTGGTGTTGGGTCCTTGTTTTGAAGAGACAGCGCCCTGCGTTCCTTCCTCCTCCCGCCGCCCCCTCCCTCCTCCTCGCATCATCGTCATCATCATCATCATCATCATCATCATCATCATCATCATCATCATCATCATCATTATCACAATCAAACTAATAATAATCATAATAATCAAAATCATCATCATCACCATCATCATCACCACCAGCAACATCATCATTATTATCAGAATCATAATCATAATCATCATCATCATCATCATCATCATCATCATCATCATCATCATCATCATCATCATCATCATCATCGCAATCATCATCATAATCATCATCATCATCATCATCATCATCATCATCACCGATCTAGGCACCGCCCCAATTTGGTACACTCCATTTTGGCACCTCTCACGAGGATCGTGGCCCCATAGGAGCTCCACCGAAGGCGCCAGTAGCAAAGTTCGCATGGCGGCCTCGGGCCACTTCGGCACACCCCTCACGAGGATCGTGGCCTCATGGGAAGCTCCACTGAAAGCCCAGTGACAGGGTTCGCATGGCGGCCTCGGGCCGTTTCGGCACACCCCTCACGAGGATCGTGGCCTCAGAGGAGCTACACCGAAGGTCCCCACTGGCAAGATTCGCATGGCTGCCTCGGGCCACTTCGGCACACCCCTTTACGAGGATCGTGGCCCCATAGGGAGCACCACCGAAGGCGCCATTAGCAAAGTTCGCATGGCGGCCTCGGGCCATTTCG